CATCGCCCTACACACCCGCACGACGACCTACACGCCCAGTGTCGTCTGCTAGCTCGTACTCGTAAAGTACTTCGCCAGGTCGCGAGTCCCCACTTCAGCGCCAGCGAAGTTGTTCGCTTGCATCGCGAGTGCCCAAGTACACACGAGCCTCCTCTCCCAGCGCCCGTGCGCCTCGCGCGACATGCTCCACGTGAGACCTACGCGCCCACGATCTATGTCGCATGCCAGTTAACCAGCCCACAACAACGCGAGTGCCAGACCTTGCGAACTCGCTGACCGGCGGGTGATTTGGCTAGATAGTGAGTGTTGATTTTTTATTGTGCATTTTCTATCGTGTGTTTTGGGTAAAGGTATAAATACATTTGTTCCTTTGTATTTTAATAACAATTCGTTCATTTGCTTAGTTTACACTTTAGAAATCTCTCTCTCTCTCTCTCTCTCTCTCTCATTTTTCCCTTTTAAATCAAACTTGTGGAGGTTCTACTCATATTTTCCGGATACTTTTCCACTTATGCTTTTCTTATTTAAGTTCTGACTTTTTTGTGTTTATTTCAATCGAGCATGCATTAGGGAAATAAAGTACCTAGTTTTGGACTTGTTATCTCGATTTTTGCGTTATTTTACTTACTTAGTTTTAGAGGTAAAATTAGTGTCTTGTTCGAAACTTGCGTGTTATGGTCGGGTTTAGTTTAAATTGCTAGCGTGTTTTGTATCTTGCTCTTCTAGTGTATTTGTTTAGTTTAAAGTTTGAATCTTTTAAGAGAAAAATCGAAACTTTGTTTTAGAGTTTGGTGATTTCGTAATTAATCGTTGGACTTAGCATCTAAGTGTGTTAGTTGTAGTTCGTCTCTCTTTATCTATACTCTTTATTGGGTTTGGAACACTACGTTACAAGTAAAGTTAAAATCTTTAATTAAACTTGCATCTATAGTTAATTAATTGCTTTTCAATTCCTTAGTCTAATTTAGTTTAAATCAAGCCCAACCAATCGATTAGAATGTCTAGGATTTTATTTTTCCTTGTTGTGCTCTCGACAACTTGTTTGTAAACGAAGTTCCGAATCACCTTCCGGTTGAGAGAAGGTCCAAGGGAGATCTTTCGATTGTACTGAGCTAAAACCAACGTAACAAAACCACCCACTATTTTTATTTTTATTTCTTTTACTAGTAGTTGCATTAATACTCTTTCTAGTCAATCTTTATAGATACGACCTTGTTTACGACTACTATAGTTATTTTACAAGCAGAAACTTATTATTATTAGTTTGGGCACCGTTAGGAAGGTGAGCTAATACGAACGTAGCAGAGAAACTCCTGCGAAAAGAGGTTTTAGGTTAGGATTTTGACCTAATATGAACGCTAAGTTAAGCGCAAGAAGCTATGAACCACATACAATCGACAATGAATAGGCATTGTAGGCCATAACCACATCGTGGATAGATATTTTCAACGTGCTTCCCCCATCATTGTGAGGCGCTCACACATGCTCCACGAATAGACGGACTAGGTGTAGGGTTGAAAGCAGGGCCAATAACTTTCTTAGCTTTTCCTTACTACAGCTGTTGGCCCATTACTGAGAGAAACAGAACATACCTCTCAGTGCTAAACCAGGTGACTACAGCTCGTTTTGAAGAGTGAACTGTCTAATTCTTGGAATAGTCCATTTGATGTACTCTTCTAATAGCTTCATTAAGAAATGCGATCTTCGTCAGCCCAAAATAAAGAAAAAGAAAATAGGATCCAGCCTAAAAGCAACACATAATCTGATAATATAAGTAGAGCAACAGATAGGATATGGAGCTTGTATCTGTTGTTATTGATAGAAATGTATTACATTCTAAAAGATCAATGATTTGGGCCCTTATGGTAGCTGAAAGGCTCAAAGCTTCATAGTTTAGAGACTGCAAGCTTGATAAGGTCCTTTCTAAGTATTTTGCCCGAGGGGTTCTTGGGTATGGAGCCCACGAATGCGACTCGTCTAACTCTCTTGTAAGGAGCCACCTGTAGCCAAACAATTTCGTTTAGAAAAATTTCAGCATTAGTTTGGAGTATATAAAGAGAAAACCTTTATAATTTGAAACTTATTTATTAACAAACCTGTTTAGCAATGAAATCCCTCACATGACTCTCTGGTAACGTACTCCCTTTTTTGCGAACCACATAAGCCATTGGAAACTGCCCAACCTCCGCATCCGGAAATCTAATGCAAGTAAAACTGATCAGTGCCTTATTTGACTACAGAATAAATATTGTTAAACTTATCATAACGTCACATAACACTTACGGTATGACAGCAGCATCAGCTATTTCCGGGTGGGTGAGCAACAAAGCCTCCAATTCTGCAGGAGCAACCTGGAAATAGAATCACATGTCTACATATTAGTTTGGATTTTATTTTCAGCTATACCTTCCTTTCTTGCCTTTTTCTCTCTTTTTTTTTATTATTATTATTTTTGGGTGCGAATGGGTAGAAGATTGGTTTTGGACCTGATAACCCTTGTACTTGATGAGCTCCTTCAACCTGTCGACAACAAAGATGAATCCATCGTCATCGATGTAGCATAAGTCTCCGGTTTTCAACCAACCATTTGAGTCCAGGGTTGAGGCTGTGGCCTCTTCATTGCTTAAGTAACCTGTGATGGTATTGAAAGAAAGTTGAGTATCCATGTGATGTATTAAGGAGCGAGATTGAACATTTTTAGTTATATACGAGTGAAAGAAATTGGGGAAAAACGGGTGTGAGCTCACTAACATGAGTGCACCATAAGTGGGGAAAGCCTATATGAAGCCAAAGTGGGGTTCCATTCCAAAACCAATTGGTGGAAGGAGTAGTCCATTAGACTTATAAGGCATAATTGCCGGTAAAATCATGACTTTACAACATTTTTCCGTTTTAACCAAACTTTTGGAATTTAACAAACATAACATAACCTTGTCTATTTTTTGTCAACAAAAATTATGCAACACTGGGGTTCGAACTTGGTACCTCAAACTTGTATTATGGCATTGTAACCACCACACCAATCCAAGTTAGATAATACTTATGAATAAATAAAATTAAATTTAAAGTTAATGTAAATTTTAAATTATATTAATAAGATGTAAACTTATAATAATTAAAATATAATAAAATACATTATATAATATTAAATGAAAATAATATAATATTAGATAATAATGTATTGAAAATTTAACCGGAAAAAAATATATAAATCAATTAAAATAATAAATTAAAACAAATAGAAATCTTAAATGAATAATAAAATAAAGAAATATTAGTTGAGTTTATTATAATTTATAATTTATTAAATTATTATATTAAAAATAAAATAAATAATTTATTAAATTACTATATTCAAATAATATTTTTTAATTAAATAATTTAATAATTTATTAACTTATTATATTAAAAAATGAATATAATAAAATAGTGAAATAATTTGAATATAATAATTTATTTAATAACTATATAAAAAATAATATAAATAATTTATTAAATTAATATATTCATTTTTTAATTAGATATAATAATTTATTAAAAAACAATTTAAATAATTTATTAAATTATTATATTAGAAAATGAATATAATAAAATAACAAAATATTATTTGAATATAATAATTTATTTAATAATTATAAAAAATAATATAAATTATTTATTAAATTACTATATTTGAATATTTTAATAATTATAAAATATTTTAATCTATTTTAATAAATATGAAATATATAAATTTAATTTAATTTTAATTACTCTAATATAAAATAACTTATCTTATCTTATTAATATAATATCTATTATTTTTTATATTTGATTCGATTTATTCATACAGAGTCTATATATATATTAAATGCTATTAAATTTAACAAACAATTTGGGTTGGTTTAGTGGTTCCAATGTTATCATACAACCTTGAGGTCCTATGTTCGAACCCCAGAGTCGCTTATATTTTTATCGTCACTGTAGACAAAGCCCAAAATTCGGCCCGGTGATTCGAATTAGCGTCGCTTATATTTTTATCGTCACTGCAGACAAAGCCTGAAATTCGGCCCGATGATTCGAATTGCCAAAAATAGACAAGGTTATGTTATGTTTGCTAAATTGCAAAAGTTTGATTAAAACGACAAAATGTTGTAAAATCATGATTTTACCGACAATTAGGCCATTAAAATAATAGAGGCAAAATTGTCTTAATTTGTGCATCAAGTACTGGTCAAGCATGTGACAAGAATCAATGAATCTACCTTTTCTGCAAAACTACATGTCAATAACATTAAGGAATATTGTAAATTTTTTGAAGGGTTGAAAAACCTTGCAGAATTTTATATAAATAAAAGCATATATAGCTGTAATCAACTTAAGCTCTTTCCATTGTCAAATATATAACTAAACCCACATTGGAATGTGTCTGATCACAATGTCCGCAGAAATGGATAAATTAATATATTTATTCCAATACATGTGATAATATACTATAAAATAATTTCTTTGTGGACAATATTGATAGACACAACTCACCTAGCATGTAGCTATCAAGTATCAATTAATTCAACAAGGAATCTCTTTTTATGACTGTTAATATACGATAGCTACTAGCAAGAGTACAGAAATTGGCACAATTCAAAACATTAGCAAAAAGATCCTTACACGCAGCACTAGCCAATCCAAGAGTTGACCAAAGTAGTCTTTTGATCTTCGCACTGATAATGGTAACTAATTATAAGTAAGCCTACCGTCCCGTTACGAAACTATTCCGTTGTGATTTGTAACCGTTAGACTAATTACAAGTAAGCCTACCGTCCCGTTACGGAACTATTCCGTTGTGATTTGTAACCGTTAGATGCATATGCAATACTAATCTACATGTGCATCTAACGGTTATAAATCCTAACGAAATAGTTTCGTAAAGGAACTATAACATTTTTACTAATTATATCGCCAAAAACAGTCCTACAATACTAGTCCACGTAATTTATACTTATATAAAAAATCATCATATTTACTAAAATAGTAGCAAAAAAATAGGTCAACATTCAATGCAACCCATAATTAGTAGTTTTATTATTTTTCTTATTGTTTTTATTTAAAAATTATACAATTTAATTTATAAATACGCTTTAATATAATCATACAATTCAATCATACAATTTAATTTATAAAAATTATACAATTGATTTTTTCTTTAAAATATATATATATATATATATATATATATATATATATGGTACTTTTTGTAATAAATTTGAATAAAATGTGTTACTTAAATATCTAAACAATTTAAAAATTCAAATGTTTAAATTAATTGATAAACAATTTATAAAACTCTATTTTATTTAATTTTATTTAAAATAATTAAATATAGCAAAATTTATTTAGAAAATCGTATCGATCCTACCAGTTCAACCGACTGGTGTTGACGGATTCAATAGCAAATATTTTATTCAAGTGAACTAGACTGATTATAAACTCTTTCTCGGTCCATCCGGTCGGACTGTGTCCAACACGGTTTAATTTTAAAACGATGGGTAAATCTTGATTAATTTATTTGTATATCTAATTTATAACACAATCGTAATATTATTTTCTCGTGCATCGCACGGGCCACGACTAGTTGAATGTAACTAATGAACGTAATTAACATGCCCTACAACACTAGCCTACGTAAATATAAGTAAATACAACAGTCCTACAACATACACTAGCCTATATAAATGTAACTAATTAGCATATAGCATAATTAGCAAAAATAGTCCTACACACACTAGACTTCGTCTTAATAGTAAATAATGAACATAACTTTGGCAAGAAGGTCCTTGACACTAGCCTAAAATTTTATAATGTTAGCTCCCTTATTATAAAGCCATTTATGAACTGAAATATTCAGAATTTTGTCTTTAGTGTATTTATGAATAATTACAGACGACCTCATAACTCGTGACATCTAGTAAGTCCACAACAAAAATGCACGCTAGCCAATTTCGTTTATATGATATTTCTCCCTCACTTAGGTGGTGCTAGAAAATATGAAATTTTTACAACATATTAATATTAACTTATTAAAGAGGAGAACTACTACAATCTCGCTGACAGAATAGTCTCGTTGTTAACGGACCTTATAATTTTTCCATTAAAGATAGGACATTGGAGTAGGGGTGTTTGCGGTCCTGTTTTAACCGAAAAAAATCGTCAATCCGGATCGTAGATCAGTTAAAAAAGCCTTAAAAAATCTGGTGGTTAATTTTTTTAAAATCCCGAATAACCGGTCCGGTTAACGGATTACCTGCGTCAAACCGTCGGTTTAACCGGACCGGACCTGTAAATATTAAAAAACTATAGGTAAATATTAAAAAATTATAACAAATATATATACATTCAGTCATTCACTATGGCCGACAAATACAATATATTCACTTTCACTTTTTGGCCTTTTGTTAACTTAATTTTGTAAGACACTATAACTTTTCACTTTTTCCCACCTTCGTTTTTCCATTTTCAGATTTTTCCACCTCCTCTTCCCAATTCTTTGAGTTATGGGACGAATTGTGTATTTTTTATTGAATTGTGTATTTTTTATTTCATTAGTTGTTTTTCTTAATTTTTAGGCCCAAATAATCTCTTTTGGGCCCAAAATTAAAAATAAAAATTAGCCCAAAATGAAAAAAAATAAAAATTGAAGGACCAAAACAAGGATTTTGAATTTTAATCGGTTAACCGCCAAACCGGACCGTCCAATGTGGTCCGGATTGTGGCCGATTAAAAAATAAAACAGGTTCGGTTATGGACAAAAAAAAAATTAACCGTTAGATTCGATTTAGTCATGATTTGAGCTGAAACTGGACCAATTCAGACCGTTAACACCGAAAATAAATCCAAATTCTAATGGCGCGAGAACACCAAATATAAATAATAATAATAATAATAATATAATAATAATAATAATAATAATTAAAAAAAAACAATAAAGTGGTACCTTTCATTATGGATGGGCCCCTCAGCCAAAGCTCACCCGTCCGGTTCACCGGCAGCAACTCACCGCTGTCCGGGTCCACGATCCTCGCCTCCATGCTCGGCGACAGCGTCCCAGCCGTCCCGTACCTCCTGCTCTCCTCTAGCGAGTCCGTCGACGCCCCGATCCCTGTTGACTCAGTGAGTCCGTACCCCTGTAGAATCGTCACGTTCGGGTACCTGGCCGAGAAACCCTCGATCACCTCCTTGCTCAACGGCGCGCCGCCCGATAGCACCGACTGCAGGCTGCTCAAATCGTACTTTTTCCTTATCGCCTCGGCGTTGTTGACCATCGCCACCAGGATCGGCGGTACCAGAGGCAGGTAGGAGGCCGAGAATCTCTGGATCGCCATCAGCATCTCATCCATCTCGAACTTCGAGAGGATGACGACGGTCGAGCCGGCGGCTATCAGGCCGGTGGCGAACGCCACCAGCCCGTAGATGTGGAACATTGGCACCGTGCATATGAACGTCTGTCTGCCTTCTTCCAATTTGAACCGGTTCACGACCGTCTGGACCGTCGCGATCAGGTTCCTGTGCGTGGAGATCACGCCCTTGCTGGCGCCGGTCGTGCCGGAGGAGTACAGGATCGCCGCCGCGTCGTTCACATGGACTCGTTCCTTGACTCGGGTTTGACTGGGCTCTCTCTTCATCAATTCCTCGATTGAGGCGGCGATTTTCAATTTTCCAGGGTTTGGATGACTCGGAGCGTGAGAATTGGGGCCGAGGATGACGACCGGGAGGCTTAAACCGGCGATTTTGGGGAGGAGCTCAGGGATTGCGAAGGCGAGGACCGGTTTGGAGTCGCCGATCTGCTTGGCGATCTCGGCGGCGGTGTTGAGGGGGTTGGTGGTGGTGACGACGGCGCCGAGGGACATGACGGCGAGGCAGACGACCGGGAAGTAGATCGAGTTGGGGGTGAGGAGGAGGACAACGTGGCCCTTGCGGACGCCGAAATCGGAGGCGAGGGCGTCAGAGACGGCGTCGACGGCGCGCCAGAGATCCGGGTAGGTGAGGCGGCGGCCGGTGGCGGCGTCGATGAAGGCGGTGCAGCCGCGGTGCGGGCAGGAAGAGATGAATGTGGCGACGTCAATGAAGTCAGTGGAGGGGAGGGGGATCGGCGAGCGCTTGCTGTGGAAAGTGGAGGTGGAGCTGCAGAAGCCGCTGCGCGGGTCGACCGCTGAAGGATTCGGGTTGGTTTCCGCCATTGAAGAACAAATTGAGAGCTCGAGATTTTTTTTTATTTTTTTTATTTTTTGGTAACCGGTTTAGACTTAGACTGTGACAACTTTGTAGTTAGCTTTACCGTTTTATTTTATAATGCGAATGTGTGAACTGAGGAACGTTTGGGAAAGTGGAAATTTCTTTGGTCATTCTATGTGTTGAAAATTTTGGAAGACGTCCGGCCAACTTTTACGCGGGACATATTTTTCACGTGCGTTTATTGTTTAAAATTTTGTTTATGCACTTTCTATTTTTTTTTTTTAAAAAAAAATTGAAAATACTAAAGTGTGATTGGATATGAATTTCCGTAGTATGGTACTCGTGCGATGCTCGAGCTAATTTTATTAATGGAATAACATAAAATAAATAAAATGTAACTTATATATTATTAAACACATCCTTATATACACTATTATTTGTTTGGTTATTTTGGTACATTGTCTATTACCACAAATTGTATTATGATTTGAGATAAGTTTAAATAAATCAATTACTTATTTAGCAGGATATATATGATACTTTGTAAGTATATATGTAATCATTATTTATTAGTAAGTGTATGTAATCAATTTCAAATTTGTATTATAGAAGATTAAACATAAACCCAATTTTTAGGATGTTCCAATCCGATTTCATTTTGAATTGCAAATTAATATTATCTGACTCTATTTTATGTTTAAGAAAAATTCAAACAAAAGAAAGTAATAGTCAAATGATAAGGAATTTTTAAATTTTAATTTTCAAATTGAAATTGAGCCTGATCTCTATGCAATCTGATTTTTTTAATAAGTATGATCTGTTGCAATTAGGTAAACATACATGTTATAATATTTTCTTAATTTGAAATTCTTAATTTTATGGTAAACAATTTTTTTTGATAAAAAATTAGAGAATTTTCACTTTTATAAAATGGTCATGCCGAATTTTACATGATTTAATCCGATTTCTATGCAATCTGATTTTTTAATAAACAATTAAATTAACGACCGAGGAAGAGGTTAGGGTTCAGAGGTTTTTGGCGATGAACAGGATGATATGCTTAATGAATTTGATATAATTTATTATTAGTGTACATGTTTTGTTTGATTAATTAA